CTGGACCTCAGATGGTGCTCTTCAACTTATACGACGAATGGCTGAAGACCATCTCCTCCTACACGGCCTTCTCCCGTTTGATCCTCATCCTGCGCGCCCTGCACGTCAACCAGGACAAGACGAAGCTGCTCTTGCGTCCAGACAAGACTGTCATTACACAGGAACATCACATCTGGCCCTCACTAGCTGACGAAGACTGGATCAAGGTTGAAGTTCAACTTCGAGATCTCATCTTGCTTGATTACGGCAAGAAGAATAACGTCAACACTTCATCGCTCACCAGCAGTGAAGTGCGTGACATCATCCTGGGTATGGAGATCTCAGCGCCTTCGATGCAACGTCAACAGGCTGCCGAGATCGACAAGCAGCAGGAGGAGCAACAGCAATTGACTGCTGTCACGACTAAGACGCAGAACATCCACGGTGAAGAGATGGTTGTCACGACTACATCGCAGTACGAGCAGGCATCCTTTGCCTCCAAGACCGAGTGGCGGACGAGGGCTGTGGCTACTTCCAACTTGCGCACTCGTGCGAACAACATCTACATCAACTCTGAGGATGTCAAGGAGGAGGGTCACTTCACGTACGTCATGCCCAAGAACGTACTGAAGCGCTTCATCACCATCGCCGATCTCCGTGTTCAGGTTGCTGGTTACCTGTACGGAAAGTCGCCAGCGGATAACGACCAAGTCAAGGAGATCAGCACCATTGTCATGATTCCTCAAGTAGGCAACACTCGCGATGTTCAGCTACCTAAGGAGCTGCCCAACCATGAGTACCTGGACAATCTCGAGCCCCTCGGAATCATCCACACTGTCAGTGGTAACGAGCCGCCATACATGCAAGCCAGCGACGTCACTCAGCATGCTCGCCTCATGAACCAGCACCCTAGCTGGGATAAGAAGACCGTCTCAATGACAGTTTCCTTCACTCCTGGTTCCGTTTCGCTCGCTGCATGGGCCCTGACTCCTGAAGGCTACAAGTGGGGTGCTCAGAACAAGGACACCATGTCTGACAACCCAACTGGTTTCAGCACCAGCTTCGGTGAGAAGTGCCAGTTGCTTCTCTCAGACAAGATCCGAGGTTACTTCCTCGTACCAGACAACGGCGTCTGGAACTACAGCTTCATGGGTAGCACATTCGGTACCGTGGAGAAGAGGCCGGTCCATGTGCGTCTCGACACACCTGTACGCTTCTACGACAGCATCCATCGACCATTGCACTTCCACAACTTCGCTGAGTTGGAGGATGTCTGGGTCGATCGCGAGAACCAGTTTGAGTAGACGGGACGATGTACAACAAAAGGAGGAGTGTATCTGAGTAGGAGTATACCCTCTCACGGCGTTCCTAGGGATTTGGCGTTTTTGCATCATCGCATCATTGATTGCATGGATAGTGGAGAATGGGCGATGATTGAGATTGGGTAGCAAAAACGTGCATAGTGTATTATAATGTTTTCAGCGATATGCATACTGAACTTTCAATATTTCTTCCATGCCGTTGTGGTTACTGCGTTTGCTCTACCCGATATTACCCTCACTGTACTGACTTCTACCGATGAGCCAGCGTTTTGCTCCTGCGCTCCAGCACCTTGGGTTCCAGCAATGGCGATGGTGAGAGGAGAGGGTTGAACGTTGAGACTATTCCGCTACTCAGCATTGAAAACCAGCTACTCAAGCACCTGTAACTCACCCTTGCTCTTCTTATGCTCGAGACTGAACGCCAAATCCCCCTTGTCAGATGTAGTTGACGATGTCGAAACTGACGTCATAGATTTGGTCGCAAGCTTCAACGGCCGCTTTCCGCTTTCGGTGGGGTGTTCGCGCATCATGGCACTCGAATTCTTGAAGGCCTTGTGCGATGAGAGAGGTTGGACTCAGATTAGATAAGGTTGCGCTGTTGTTGATAGGGGATGCCCAGGTATGCCCTTTTCTGCACGGGGTGCCCCGCATCATCTTAAACCTTCGATACTTCCTTCCCAACGCAGTCAGCAACAAACGAGTACTTGCATTTGCTCTCTCAGCTTTTGTGGCTCAGCTCTAGTACTCGTACGATGGCTTTGCACCTAATTTCCTCGCAAGCATGTTACAGCCTCCATTCCAAAACTGTATTTTATCATCGCTATCCCACACTACTGCGGTAACCTAGAGGCGACCTAAAGACGACGAGCTAACTACACCTCCCGCATTTTATACAATTCATACGCAATGAGATACTCTATAAAAGATAGAAGTATTGTATATCCGAGAACTCCTCCACTCCATCATCCACAACCCACCTGCCTCGCTCTTTCCGGGTGTTGTATGACACACGCTTCCTTCCCCACCTCCCACCTTCGAATCCACATCCCTCGACGGCAAAGCTTTCGAAAGACAAGTCTATCGAGACGTCCTCAATACTCTGGAATGTTTTCACGATATCTCGCGCTGTTTCTAGAACCGCAGAGCAACCGGCTCGCTGTAGATCCAACCGTGCATAGTAAATCGAACGGAATCTTACGTCGAGAGTTCTGTGTTCTATGTTCTTATTGCTAGGGTCTCTTGCAATCATCTCCAGAAACAAGTTAATGCCGTTGCGCAAGCGCTCTCGATCTACATTAAACGCGAAATACCCAGATTGGAGGTTGATAAAGACAACGAACTTCCTGATCTGTTTGGCGATGGCACAAAAGGTGGTGTTGAAGTGCGCATTTTGGGGGTGCTTCTGGTTGTTGAGCATCTTTCCACAGGGCGCCAATTTGAAGGACTGGTTACAGAGTCGAATATTCATCGAGCCTGTGTCGATTGTTACCAGGAATGACTTTTGTTTGTAGAGTACTGTGTGAACTTCGTTGCTGATTTCCTTTGCGGCGAGCATTATGTTTAGGATTCTCCCGCATCCCGTGTCTTCGTCTCGGTGGGCCATCGGCCACCTTTTCCCGATATTCTCAGGAAGGTGATAGCCTATGATCATCTCGCGAAGCTCGAGGGGAAGATCCATGATGCGAAAATTCCAAGGCTGGCCGTGACGCTCGGAGCAGGCTTCTGGTGCCGTCTCGTTCCTACGGCAGGGTATTACCTGCGGAGAATTGCTGCATTGCAGTCCGGTATTAGTGAGATATTGACAGCGTCTCGACATCTTGTGATTGGGTACTGGCGAGATCGGTTTGAAGTAGATACGGTGGTTCTCGTTGGTTGAGTAAGGCGATGTCGATGGTGATGAGAGTGTGGTTTTCCTTTGAACGTAGGTAGAAATGAGAAGTATAGGGAATGAGATTTTCGCAGTACTTTATACAAATGGACACCGAAAACAAGAACATGACGCAGCAAAAAACAGATCACAAAACCATGGTTGCGCGCGACCACACCACGCTCTACCACAGTTCTGACACGACCCACAACTGGCGAGCCACTTAAGAATACTGCGATTCAAAACAGATCGGCAGACTACACTAAGAGAAAATAAGCGAAGCATAGAATCTGGCGTTACTATAGGCTCCAGAATGTTCAGTTTCCCTTAATCCCAACGCGCCTTTAGTACTCCTTGAACCTCATCATCATACCACTTCCATCCCGCCGGCACAGCGCACCCAAACTCATCCCAGCCATGGTCTAAACTGCTCAAGTCACCTATCCCCCAACCTGGTGGTTTCTCGTCGTCATCGAGAGCTTCGATCTGCGCCAGACTGATATCCTCGTACCGCAATGGAACGATGATATGGGCAGCGTTTGCACCATCTATTGGATCAATAAGGTATTCATACTTCAAACATGGGGCTGCGACCACGAATGTGAGAAGTTTGTAGTGAGACGGGGTAAAGCAGAGTCTCCCATGATGATCTTCTGTGGGCGGTGGACAGAACACGGTTTTGACTTGGAAACTTGCGTGAGTGGTCGTGATGACAGGTTTGGTCGGTTCGCGAATGCCGTCAGTATTCAGCGCTATGGTCCATGTATGATTATCGCCGATACGCCGATGACCATAATCCACAAGCGATGGTAATGTCTGCACATGCTCTGAGTGTGCACAGTTTTGTGCGTCGCGGATGTCCAGAGGCTCGGTCGGTAGATGGAGGATATGCTTCTTCGCCTTTAAGATCCGTGCGAGACGTTCTGAGGGACTAGCAGCTGCGTTTTCAAGGAAAAATGAGCGTTGGAGAATGAATGTTGGATACGGCAGGATGGAGTATGCGTGTGACCAAGTGATGATGTTGAGGGCTTCGGTAAACGAGGGGTCGAACAAGGCAGTGGAAAGCGCAGACTCGCAGGTGGCGTTGAGAACCAAATGGGGGCATTTGCACAACGGCAGTATTTCCGCTTTCTCGCGGCAGTTGTTGGCATGCTTCTTGTAGTAATCAAACTAGCAGTTGTTAGCCCCATACCTAAACCTCCATTAAGGCAGGCTCAACCAGAGAAGCGTACTTCATCGTGACCTTCGTGTTTCTTCGAAAAATAGGACTTCCACCCATCCTTTTCAATATATGCCTGCATTTTCGTAGTTGAAGAGCCTTTGCGAACAAATATCACTATCTGATGTTCGCGATGTTTGCGAAGAAAAAACTTTAGTGCAAAGCTGTTGCTGATGATGGCATCAGTTTCCGCTTGTATGCTGCGAAACTCGACTGGTGACTTGAAGTACCATGCCAGCGCTTTGTTGATATCGTACTGGGTTGTGATGGTGGTTTTGTAGACGTGACTTAGCTTTTGACACACACGAGATAAGGCTATGATATCCCTAATCTCGAGTTGCTGCAAGATAGAGTCTTGAACGGGGCCGTACCGGTCGATGAGACCCACAAGGTCGAACATATCTGAGTCAAGGAGTGCTCGAGTAGTGAGGAAAGAGGAAATGCGTGAGTAGCCAGGAGAGCAAAAAGGAGCGCAACAAGCAAAGGAAACTATATGCTAGTCTGGGAGCGTGAAGTAGACTTTGACGTGATCTAGAGAGCATGGAAAGAAAAAGACACTGCGTATGCGTCAACAACTGGCAAGAACACGAAACACAGACACATCTACAATGCATCACTCCTGCTTCAACCACGCCAAATTCACAGCACTCAAACACCCCTCCTCCCCCTTCTCCAACCACCCCAACAAATTCTCCATACCCAACCTCTCAAACCCAACATGACTCTCGACACTCGCGCCCGCCGTATGACTCAAAACCATAACATTATTCCTCTGCACCAACCTCTCATTCACATGGGGCTCATTAGCATGAACATCCAGCCCCGCCGCCGAAACAATCCCATCATCCAACGCCATATTAAGCGCCTCCTCATCCACCAACTTGCCCCTCGCAATATTCACAAGCCTCGCCCCCTTCTTAAACTGCGCGAATTCCTTCGTCGAAAGCAGTGTATCCCCCGAAAAGGGCGTAGCAAGTAGCACGCAATCCGACGACGACAGCAACTCCTCCAGGCTCGCACACCACCTCGCCCCAATTTCTTTCTCCCTCGCCTCCATCCTCACAACATCATAATAAGCAATCTTCATGTCAAAAGCACGACTCGCTTTCTCCGCAACACGCATACCGATGCGGCCCAGCCCCACAATACCGAGCGTGCTGCCATTGGGATTGTGCGTCACGGCCGCGATGTTCTGATTCGCGTTGCGGAACTGCTCTGGGTCGCACGAGCGCGCTGCGAGGAAGGACCAGGTGATTGCGCGGTAGCAGGACAGGATTAGTACGATGGCGGCGTCGGCGACGGATTCGGTGCATGCGGATGCGCTGTTGCAGTATATGGTTCCTGCGTATGAGGCGAGGTATTGCGTGTTTACCCAGTCGAAGCCTGCGCCGGCTGAGGCGTAGATTTTGCAGGAGGAGGGGAGGAGGTCGCTTGGGGGAGGGTTAGTGCGTGGGGTTACGAGGGAAGAGGGTGGTAAGGACGTACATGAGTTCCTCATCCCAGTTCCCCATTTCGCCGCCTGTGTTCCAGAAGGGTCGGTACATGCCTACGAAATCGCCCCATTTCTTCTCTTTGAGCGCTTTTTTGAAGTCTTCTCTACCCATCGAGTATGTTCTTATGATGTTGAATTTGTTGTTCAGCTCCGCGTACAAGTCATGGTTCCACCGGATATCGTCACCGAGATGGAGTATGGTTGACTTTGACGCAGATGAAGCGTTTGGTGCCAAAGGTGAGGTTTCGTATGGCGTTGCAGGCGCAGGCAGCCCAGAGTCTTGGGGTGTTGGCGTTGCCGAAGACATGATGTGTTATCGTATGTGTATATGCTTAGATGCGATGAATATGCGAGTAGAAAGACAGTATAAAAGCAAACGTATATCGAGGGCCGAAGTGCAGAGAGTAAAATGAAGCTGCCGCCGATTTCGCAGGACCGTTGAAGCACTTTCTCGCCTCTCAACCCGCTCTCAAGACCCTAAAGGTGATGTAAACCCGAGAACCAGACACTCGGGTACACTTGCTTAATATCGCAGCCTTCTAGATCTCCTTCTCTCCGACTGCTTACTCGCAGGTCTCCTAGTGTCCACTGCAAACCAGATGAAGAAGCGACAGGCAGATTTCTCAAAGAGGCTGTGATGTATTCGACGACGAAAACATTCAAAAAGAAACGATGTTGTATTACACAAGCACATATATCGCACGTAACGTGGCGTGCATGAAAGAGGACGTGGGGCAGCAAGCCGCTGGCAAGCGGTGAAGATAAGGTTATCGATACCAAGAGCTGCACTACGCAATCAGAGCCTCCACGTGGTATATATATGCGCCTTATCCCTGTCGCATTCTTACGTGTTTACCGACCAGCATCACCGGTGTGTATATGCTGACATCAGGGTGTTGTACTAGTTAGCTTTGTCCCACCATGTTATCGGAAAATCAAGGAAATGTAGTTGGTTGGTGGAATGGTTAGAAATACATTTAGAGTGTGTCGAGCACAAGGTATAGTTGCAATGCGGGAGTAGTTCCTGGATCTTCTATTCGCTGTATACGGCGAAGGAAAGGTGTTTAGGAAATACACCCCTAGCACAAGATATAACAAACCGCCTGTTCGTTCGTTCGCTCATGTAAGATGGAGTAGAGCTCTTTCCCTATTAAACGCCCATATATACGCCCGTCATAGCTTCGTGAAAACATTACTGTTTGAAACACTCCCTCAGAACCAGTTCACTAAAGCCGTACTAGCCGGATTCGACGGGTTGCCTCCATGACCATACTGAGTAACCATGTCGTCCCAGAGCGTCCAGTCCATGTCGCCGTTGTCCATCATAACGGCGTCGTCAACCTGCTGCTGCTGCTGCCCGTTGCCGCCCATGAGCATGCCATTCAAAGCAGTGTTGCCGGTGTTGTCGATGTTGTCGATGTTGAAATCCATGTTGGTAGTTGGAAGCATGCCGTCGCCAAACGTGGGGTAGCCATTCGCCTTTGTTGGTGGATGCGCGCCATGTGTGCCGTATGGATGTATTGAACTGGTGGTGTTCGAGCGAGGAGGTTGCGAAGTCATGGACGGGGCAGCAAAGTTTGGAAAGTCTACGGTTGTGCCGTCGTAGACTCCGCCAGCACCCATGACGTCGTTGATCACATTGTCAAGGCCGAATTCAAACAAGTCACCGAATTCCTTCCCAGGACTGCTATTGCTGTGACCTCGTGTGCCGTTTGCTGGTCCATTCGGTAATTGTCGTTGCCCACTCATGCCGTCTCCATTCTGCAGCGGGCTGTTCCGCGATTTGGCTTGCGTAGGGCTGTTTGGCCAACTTCCAAGTTCAGTGCTAGGCATGTCTCCCAACTTCGGTGCAGCAGGTCGCAGCATGCTGTCCAGGATGTCGGCATCTTGTTGTCCTGACTGGTTCATTTGACTCTGCGCAGATGGCATCTGGAATGAGAATGGGCTGTTACCAAACTGCCCGCTTCGAATCGCCAAGCTAGCCCGCTCAAGAGCCAACTCTCGCTCTCGCGCAGCCCTTGCTTTCGTGAGCAATTTTCTGAGCGGTTTCCACAGAGTTCCTTGCTGGCCTTTGCGGAGTGGCGACGCGTCGTTGAGCGGGAACCACCAACGGCCCGCCGTGGCTTCTAGGGCCCTCCATGCGCGCTCTACGGCTTCGCCTTTGGTGCGGACGCATAGCTCAGAAAGCAGAAAGGCGATGGCGTGCCATTGCACGTACGTGCGGAAGAGCCAGCCCCATTTCATAGTTCGCGCTTCGGTCTCGAGCAGCATGGAGTACTCCACATTCTCAAGCGAGGTAATGAAGAGCTTGTCCTTGGTTTCCTGAGGCAACGTCGCACCCCCATCTTTTCGCTGATATGGATGGTATACTATCAGCCACATCTTGCTCATGATGAGCCTGGAAATTGTCGCCGTAACCCAACAAATCGGAATAGTCATGTCGCAGTTCTTGAGGTATTTGTTTTCCATGGCCTGGTGGCACTCTGTTATCCACTTCTCCTTCTGCTCGATCGTCATGCCAGCGAAGTACTCGGTGCACCTAGCGGGTCCCGGAGGTATGTATGCGATGCGGCGCATGATGTGAGCGATTTCGAAGCGGAGGAGGCAGAAGGTCATGTCTGTGAAGCCCTGTCGCTCTTCGGGGAACTCGGTCATGTCGGGGTGTATATCTGTGTCGTTCACATTGAGGGGCTGCGAGGTATTAGCATCTATGTGGGGGACTTGAGCCAAAAAGGCTTACCATCTTGGTGTCAAACTGAGCTTCCACAATGGTGGGATCGCAGCCATGGTCTTCGGAGGATCGCGCGTCGAGAATACAAATCTGCCACCAAAGCCGCCTTCGCATCTCGATCTCGAATGGTGGCAGACCGAAGTGGCTGCCATCTCGGTGTATTCCGAGCGTCTGCGCGATGCGTACAACCAGACCAGTCAGCGTCCAGATCTTGCGCGCGTCATCGTTGCGCCGCATCAAGACGAGGAAGATGACAAACGACTGTAGTATAATAACCTCGTCGCAGTAAAGGAAGTTTGCCCTCGCCAAGGCCTGTTCCAGTCCGAATCGATATCGATTCAGCAGTGTAGCTCTGTCTTCTCCCCATCTTTCCAGACAGGTTTCCGTGGTGGAGCTTGTTACGGCGCCGTAGTATACGGCAAACAGGAGCGTTTCCAGCCCTTTGCTTACTTTATCGGGATGTGCGAAGGCGTCGAAGACGGTAGGCTCGAAGGTGGGAATGTGCAAGACCTTGACTAAGGACTCGACGTTCTCCTTGTAGACTTCCCAGAACTGGCGCGCTTGTGGCTCGGGAGGATGCAGCGCGTGCATATCGACGTTGGAGGAATTGTAGCCGAAGATGAAGCCCTGGTGCGAGGACATGTTGGACGATTCGGGCGAGTGTGCGTCATCGTCGTCGTCGTCCTCCTCTATGAGGATCGCCTTTAGATCTTCGACCTGGGATGCATCAGCGTAGTTACTCTCTAGTTAGCTCTTCGTACATACCTCGTTGTTCAGGGAAGCCCAGAAGGAGTTGTTGATATAGCGACTCCGCCCATTCTCAACCACCAGGCGTCCGAAGCGGCTCTCGAGACCCTCGACGCTGTTGTCTGTCGCGACCTTTGCGCCATGCTGTTTGGCAGGCCACTTTACGCCGCTGTTCCCGTTGGGGCATCCCTCTTCGCTCGTGCTGCTGTGTCGCTCCTTCTCACGGTCGGCGGCTTCCTGCTCGTGGCCCTCCACCTGGGCATTCAGGCTGGTGACGACGCCCTCCAAGCGCCTCAGCCTCTCGAGCAACTCGGCATCTGGTGGTTTCCTGCTCTTGCGCGGCGCACGTCCAGGTCCGGGGAAGATGCAGTCGATTTTGGCGCGTGTACAGTTGGAACACGGGTTCTTTTTGTCGCATTTGACTTTGCGCCTGCGGCAGGTTACGCACGACCGGGGGTTTGGCGTCGGCCCAGCACCACCACCGGGTGAGGGGCCGCTGATGCTGCCGCTTGGCCTGTGTGTGCCATTGGGCGGACTCTGGCTCTGCTGCGTATTGTCCGACATTGTACGAGAGGTGATGACACTGGGAATAGTCTCTTCTCTCACCCAGACGTCTTCTCACTCTTGACACTCGCACCTCCGTGTGGCTTGACTCTTGCGGCGAGACCCTGGTCGATTGTCGGTGCTGACCCAACTTCACTCTCCGACCACCGTTTACGAACCCAGTACGAAGCGGAACATTCCCGGTGGGGCATGCAGTCTCTGGCGAATCAAACTATGGCGCATCAACGCCCGAGCAGATCAGGCTGGTCGACCATGAAAGATTGGGAAAGAGACGGAAAGTCGATTGGTTGACTTGCAAACCTGCGGATGAAGCAGCGCACATTATGCCTTACGCCCGACTAAAACCGACGCAACGTCATTCACGGCTGGGACTGAGCATCTGATAACCAACAGCAGTCCTGTCAGGCGGCCCGTTGCAGTCAGATTACTACAAACCCCATATGCCTAAAGTGCTCTCTGAGTCATTCCAGTCAGGCCACCCGTGTGCAGCACATCGTTCGCGACTTAGTCCAAGTTGGAACTCAATCGACACATCACCGTAGAACTATGTCGGGGCCCACGGAGACCTGCCAATGCATCAAGCAGAAAAGTCGAAACAACACGTCACAAGGTAATTTGGAACAGGATCAGGGTTCACGATGTGCTACCAATGTAAGTCTGTCCGCGTCCCGTGGACTGCGAGGAATCGGTCAAAAATTCGGAGCCACCAATCATCTCCGCAAGTCCGCCTTAATCCGACATGCATGCGTCCAAGAACTTTTCCGAGAACAGACATGGCATATCCGTGCAGAGTGTTGCCTAGCATAGATTATCCAAGTGCTCGTGATGGGTATCGCGAAAAGCGTATCCTCCCTCGACTCCAATATTTTCCTAAACGCCTTGTAGATAGGCCGTGATCAAAAGGTTGCATCCCATTCTAGCACAGCGAAAGTATCCAGCCCTACCTCCGCTCACCGCGGCCTCCGATATTCTTCTCCTTCTTGCGCCTACTGTTCTCGACGGAGAGACGCGCCTTTTCCTCTGCCTCTTCCTCCATCTCCCGATCGATCGCTTCTCTGACACGCATGAGCTCTTCCAAGGGTATGCCTTTAGTATCCACCACCACACTAGGTGCGCCCTCCAAGTATCTCAAGTTTTCTAGCGCTTGCTCGACTAGCTTGTGCAGCTTGGCCTGCGAGTTCAGGTTGTCGTGTCGCTTTGTGTTGTGCAGATCAGGGTATAGAACACCATCGCCGTTCTCAGCTCCTTTGAAAGCTTGGAGGTAG